AAAAGAACCCACTATGGACACCAAGCATCTCTCTTCTCTCATGGGTATGATTTTCAAATTCAATGGAACGTAGTTTATTATGAAGATTTGACTGTTTGTTCTCAAATAGGGACATGGGGTTTGATGTATAAATACATTAATTTCAAAAAGTGATTTTGGGTTTGTTACCTTGAGAAGAGGGTGCCACAGTCACATCTATACTCCTTAGTGCCACAGGTCTTGGAGTGTGCTTTCCAATCTGATTGAACTGCATACCTCTTCGAGCATTTCTCACATTTCCACTTCTTCTCCCCATGTTTTCTGCAAAAGTGCTTCTTGATTCCTGTCAAGTCACCAAGAGCCCTTGATGGGTCATGGTGCACACAACCTGGTTCTGGACACACATACACCTTCTTCCTCACCTCTTTGTTTGTTCTCTGCTTCAGCTTCCATGGCAGATTATGGCCTCTTCTGTGAAGCTGCAGATTCTGATCTCTTTGAAACCCTTTGTTGCAGATCTCACACAAAAATCTGTTTGTTGCCAAAAGTGTTTTGGGAGATAAAGCTATCACTTCTGCATCTGGGTCTGATTCAAAAAAAGAAAAGAAAAGAAAAAGAAACAATTAATCCCAAATATAATCAACAACATGAAATTGAGTAAGGAATTGGAAAAAAACAAAGAACAAACGGTGGGAAGGTATTAAAGTCACCTGGGTTTCCAGGGAGGTTTCTCTTCTTCTTTGCTGGAGGCAGCTGAGGTTGAGGAACTGGTGGAGCTAAGTACTGACCTGAAGAAACATTTGCTTCCCCAGATGCAGAAGTCAAGTTGGTCATGTTCTCCTCCAACACAACTTGCTGCTGTTGTTGATGAAACAACAAGTCTTTCATCATATATCTTCTGTTAGAACAAGCAATTCAATAGACATCTCATAGATCCAAAAAACCAATAGATCCAACAATACTAGAAAAAGAGCTAAAAATTTTGACGGTTTTAATTCCTTGTTTGGCATGAACCCAACTGACAATTTTTTTGTTTTTGGGAACTCAAAAAGAAACAAGAAAGAGTAATGACTAGAAGTGAAGAAGATCCAACAATAAACTTACATGCTAACTAAGAAAATCCAACAATAAGCGCTCAAATATGAACAAATAAAAAAAGAAGATAAAGTATGAAGAAACTGAGAGAGAAAGAGAGAGAGAGATGTGGATGAGAAGGGGGATTCCTCTGTGATCCTGAAGCAGTACAAAAACATGACCCAAAACCACAACCCCTACAGGGAGCTAATCTCTGACGTTGAACTTTCTGTCTTTTTTTTCTTCTCTTCCCAACTCCAGAAAAAACAAAAAATAATAATAATAATAATCTCATCTTTCTTAACTCCCTGGGTGCCTTCAAATTTTCTTTAAAAAATTTATTTTTAAAACTAAAATTAAATTTATTTCTTGAAATAAAAACTGTACTTTAAGTCTTCAACACATATTAGGTAAGAAAAAAAAAAAGAAAAAAATAAATAAATAATAAAAAAATGCTTTTGTTTAATCACCCACCTTTCTCCTCTCTTGTAAAGTAAGGAGCGAAACAAGAGAATATAAAGGTAACTACTTGTAAAAAAGAGAATATGAATTGTACGTACATCAAGAAAGAGAAAGAAAAAGGCATGTTGATTTGTGTTGTGTCTGTGCGTTTAAAATTTAATAAACATGGGGAAAAGAGAACATCATAATGTTTTGTATAAAAACATTAAAATATTAAATTATAGTTATTAAAAATATAAAATAAAATTTAAATTATAATTTTTATTTAATTATTATATAATTATTATTAAACATATTAATATTT